TGGGGGGAGAAGGGGGCGGAGTCGGGGGGCGGGGCGCGAGCACTTCCAGGCTCCGGAGCATTTCCTTGTTTGTCCAATGTCCCGACCGCACATCGGTTGGGACGCGGGACAAACAAGGAAATATCGGGACAGTCCCGATAAAATCAGGACGTCTGGTCACCCTAAGATCGTGCTACCATACATCTAAAAGATCTGGTGTATTACAACAGTCACTGACTGCACTGAGGTCAGTTACAATATAATAATTGCGTACACATCCCTAATTGTTCACAAGAACTACTATCACTTAATACACTAAATTAACACTCATAACTGGAGAAAATACTCTAAACTTCATTTTGGAGTTTGTTAAAAGCTTCTGCCCATATAAGCCTATTTTAGAATCACAACAAGACATTCCAGGATGTGTGTCATTTCCACTTCTGAGAAGGATGAAGTCACTTGGCCTTTGGTCTTGTGCTTTCCAGCACACCCGAGGAAAGTAATATCTCATCACGAGCCAGGTCCTGTAATGTCTTCTTCCTTAATTACCACTTTAGCTTTGCCAAACCATATTAACCCCTATTTAGCAAGCATACTGTTCTGGTCCCTGAGGTGCCTGGAATAAGATAACCTTTAAACATTCTTATTGTTAAGATATACTTACCTGATATATTAGACAATCCCAGAATGAATTATTTCAATCTATTCAGTAAATAATACATATTTAGTATCTGAATGCTATTTTCCTTTAAATGTCCTTTATACAACCACCAAAACAGTAAGTTTAAAAAACGTTGAAGTTGTGATAAAAATCAACAAAAGGCAGGAAACTCCAAGACCATCAGAATATTCTCAGGCACGATCAGTGCTGTTCCCCTAATCCTTTTCATTCTGAATACCTCGCTGAATGTGGGATGGTGACATCCGAATGGGTGGGAGCCCAGGATGATGGAGCAGAACCAATAGCAGCAAAGGAAGGCTGTTTGAACAGTTACTGAACTTGATAACCAATAGGCTGCAGATCCCAGTGCTAGTACCTGCATCTGCAACAGTACTAGTGGACTCTCCTCCACGCTATCACTTCCTGCAGCCAATGGAATCTCTGAAAACAATCGTGGGGTGGGCCATGAGTCCAGAGGTAATGCTAGCACATTGGGGATCCTAAGCAGAAATATTTTTGCCCACTCCCCACACAGCACATAAGAAAAAGCAAATGGGGGTGGGGCTTGAGCTGCTCAGGACCCTAAGCAATTGCTTAGTCTGCTTCTGCCTAGTGCTGGCCCTCCATGAGTCTGTCCCTGCACTCCTGAAATAGAAGTGTGCATGGGCAGATATACCCTGTGTGACGTTGCAGTCTATATGATTTTATAAAAATATGCTAATGAGTGAATATTATGTAACTGGAATATGCTTCATGCAAAAGGTGTCTTGTAAGGTATCATTACAAAGCTTATAATCTACTGAGTGTATTCATCCTATTTCTATAAATGTATCACTCTTGTATCTAAAACTAGAAATATGAACTATAACTCTGAGAGCCATCATGAGGAATCCCCTAGCTACCACCTGAGCTGGAACAAGGGCTGTACCAGGGGAAAGGATTGTGCCAGACTAGGAAGGCATCCAGTCTGTGAAAGAAACGTATTGAAACATCTTTCAGGGTGAGATATTATCTGTACTCAATTGTATTACTGCATTAGGCTTAGATTTGAATGTTTTATTTTATTTTGCTTGGTAACTCACTTTGTTCTGTCTGTCACTACTTAGAACCGTCTTAAATCCTACTTTCTGTATTTAATAAAATCATTTTTTACTTATTAATTAACCCAGAGTATGTATTAATGCCTGGAGGGATGGCATAAGCTGTGTATATCTCTCTATCAGTGTTATAGAGGGCGAACAATTTATGAGTTTACCCTGTATAAGCTTTTTACAGGGTAAAATGGATTTATTTGGGTTTAGACCCCATTGGGAGTTGGGCATCTGAGTGTTAAAGACAAGAACACTTCTGTAAGCTGCTTTCAGCTAAGTCTGCAGCTTCGGGACGAGTAATTCAGACCCTGGGTCTGTGTTGGAGCAGACGGGCGTGTCTGGCTCAGCAAGACAGGGTGCTGGGGTCCCGAGCTGGCAGGGAAAGCAGGGGCAGAAGTAGTCTTGGTACATCAGTTGGCAGCTCCCAAGGGGGAGTTCTGTGATCTAACCCGTCACACCCTATTCACTCTACCCCTGTACAACTGTGTGGTAGGGAGAACAGGTATGCTGGCAATGTGCAATTCCATTACCGGGGAGATTGCACTGATCGATGTCACTGTTAGTAATAAGTGCAACATGCAATGAAAACTGTTTGCACACTTTACTTATTGGCAGTTGGGATGCCTATATTGCTTTTTAATAAATGATCTTTTAATAAAGATTTTGTTTTTATTCAAGATTGGGGTGGGAGTGCTTGGAAAATGAAGAAACAAGAAGTTTTATCCAAAGCTATTAAGAGAGTCTCTCAAACTCTCTTAAAAATCACATAAAAGCAACAGCAAACAAAAAAATTGGTATGTATACTGCCATAATACAAAGCATCACATCTCCCTATGCAACAAGGATATGGGCACACAAGGCATCCCTTACTTTCCTTGCTCTCCTGGACCCAGCTCCAGTGATCAGAGGTGCACTTTTTGTTTGTCTGAACCAGGCCTGTAAACCAACACTGTCTTGAACCACTCTTGGTGAAACCCTCTCCCTTATTCTCACATATGTTGTACGGTGCGCAGCATACCCCAATAACAGGAATGTCATTGGAACACTGGCATCCAAACAGATTTCTGGACAGCACCATCTTGCCTTCAGTTGGCCAAATGCATATTCCACCACTGTCCTGCAACTGTTCAGTGTGTGATTAAACTTTCTCCTGCCAAGTGTTCGTATATCAGGGTACAACTTCATGAGCCAGGGCAGCAAAGGGTAGGTTGAGACCCTAAAATAACAGTGGACACAGACATCCCATCAGTATCCATATTATCTGGAGGGAATAAAGTCCTTTCTTTTCCAAACACGTAAAAGCCATATTACCTGAGAACCCTAGTATCATGCACTCTGACAGCACATCCCACATTGGTAGAGCCCTACCAATTTCACGTGTCAGACCATGAAATAAGCCCTTCTCCATGTAATCAGATCTCCTTGTGCTCCTGGCAGCACCCCAGCTGAGGCTCCTACCTGCTATTCCAGCCAGGCTGGGGACAGACAGGACTTGTCCTTCCACAGCACGGCCGCTCTCAGTGGGGAGATCAGACGTGAAGGTAGTACAGTAACTCCTCGCTTAACGTTGTACTTATGTTCCTGAAAAATGCGACTTTAAGCGAAATGATGTTAAGCGAATCCAATTTTCCCATAAGAATTAATGTAAATGGGGGGGTTAGGTTCCAGGGAAATTTTTTTTCACCAAACAAAAAACTATATCTATATCTATATCTATATATATATATATATATATACACACACACACACACTATACGTTTTAAACAAACAATTTAATACTATTCACAGCTATGATAATTGTAGGTTTCAGAGTAGCAGCCATGTTAGTCTATATCCGCAAAAAGAACAGGAGTACTCGTGGCACCTTAGAGACTAACAAATTTATTAGAGCATAAGCTTTTGTGGACTACAGCCCACTTCTTCGGATGCATATATACAAGAAGTGGGCTGTAGTCCACGAAAGCTTATGCTCTAATAAATTTGTTAGTCTCTAAGGTGCCACGAGTACTCCTGTTCTTTTTATGATAATTGTGAAGTTTGGTTGAGGTGGTGAAGTTAAAGGGTGGAAGAGGGTGGGATTTTCCCAGCGAATGCCTTGCTGCTAAATCAGTGGTTCTCAAACTTTTGTACTGGTGACCCCTATCACATAGCAAGCCTCTGAGTGTGACCCCCCTTTCCCCCATATAAATTAAAAATACTTTTTTATATATTTAACACCATTATAAATGCTGAAGGCAAAGTAGGGTTTGGGATGGAGACTGACAGCTCGCGACCCCCCATGTAATAACCTTGTGACCCCCTGAGATGTCCCAACCCCCAGTTTGAGAACCCCTGTGCTAAATGCAGGGCCGACTCTAGGCACCAGCAAAACAAGCAGGTGCTTGGGGCAGCACATTTCTAGGGGCGGCATTCTGGCGCCGGCCATCAAAGGTGCCAACTCCGGGGCATGGGGAAAAAGTGCCCTCACCGCCCCAGCTCGCCTCCACTCCGCCTGCTCCCCTGAGCGCGCCGCCGCTGCTCCGCTTCTCCCCCCTCCCTCCCAGGCTTGCAGCAAGGCTTGCAGCAAGGCTGGGAGGGAGGAGAAGCCAAGCGGCGGGGCGCTCAGGGGGGCGGCGGAGGTGAGCTGGAGCGGGGAGTGGTTCCTCTACCCCCCCCCATTACTTCCTGCATCCCCCCACCCTAGCTCACCTCCACTCCGCCTGTTCCCCTGAACACGCCGCTGCTCCGCTTCTCCGTCCTCCCTCGCCTGAGAGGGAGGGGGGAGAAACAAAGCGGCGGCATGCCCGGGGGAGCAGGCAGAGTGGAGGTGAGCTAGGGTGGGAGGTCATGGGGGACCCGCAGGAAGCAATGGGGGGAGGAGAAATGCGGCACGCCGGGGGAGGAGGTGGTGCTGGGGATTTGGGGAAGGGGTTTGGAAGGGGTGGAGTTGTTGTGGGGTTAGGGGCAGAGGGGTATGAAAAAGAAAGGGGAGGGGGCCAAAAGTTTTTTTTTGCTTGGGTCGGCAAAAATCCTAGAGCAGGCCGGCCCTGGCTAAATGATGAACTAGCACTCAGCTGAGCCCTCAAGGGTTAACACATTGTTGTTAATGTAGCCTCTCACTCTACAAGGCAGCAGGAATGGAGGGGAGGGGAGATAGCATAGCAAACAGAGTCAGACACACGCCTTGTGCATGGAAGAGAGAGAGAAATGCACGCTGCCCCTTTAAGTAAGCTGACCCACTCTTACGTGCATTGTCTTTTTAAATGTATCAGGAAGTTGAAACAGCAGCTGCTGCCCCAGGGACTCTCAGTCCCTGTCCCCACCCTGCTCTATATGGAGAAGAAGGGGTAAGCGGGGTGTAGGAGCAGGGGGGAGGGGGACACACTGACATTAGACCCTCCTTCTCCCCCCTGCACAGCAAGCAGGAGTCTCGGGGAACAGCTCCAAGGCAGAGGGCAGGAGCAGCACATGGCAGTGGGGGGAGGGATAGCTGCAATTGCTAGCCTGCTGGCAGCTGCTGCACAAGGAACTTAGGGGAGCGGGGAGCTGATGCGGGGGTTGCCGGTCCACCCTGGTTCCAAGCCCCCACCAGCTAGCTGCAACAGGCTGCTCTTCCTGCAAGCACTGGACAAAGCATGCAGCTGCCAAACAACATTAAAAGGGAGCATTGCACAGCTTTAAACGAGCATGTTCCCTAATTGATTAGCAATGTAACAACAGAACAGCGTTAACTGGGACGACTTTAAGTGTGGAGTTACTGTACAGGCTTTAGTTTTCTATTTTAACACCCTAAGAAAACTTGTTCAGAGGGGACAGACAAGTTCTCCCAGAATACACAGAGGAAAAATTCCTAGAGCAGCTCAAGTTAGTAGGATGCTGCGAACCATAGGATATAGTCCCAGAAATCCTAGTACCTAAATCAGGTTACTGCAGCACGAGGATGAATGAAGCTACGTGAGCATAACTTCAGAGCAGCTTTGCAGGGGGAGGCTTGCAGGTGGGCTTAGTGCCTGGTGCCCATATCTGGGAGCCCAGACCTATGTAAATTCTGTAGTGAAGATGTGGAGCTACATTTGGCACAGAAGCCTGGCTGACTGGCTAGATTATTTCAATGGCAACATTTTGAACAGACTAATGGAGATGAGGCAAGTGTCTCAGAAGCTACAGTGAAAGTGGCTGCAGTAATTGAAACAAGACAGACATGTTTTTGGAATGGATTTATGAAACAGGAGGGTGAGGAATGGGCATAATCTGGAGATGCTGAGGAGAGAAATGCAGTAAGATATAGTGAGAGCAGCAGTGAGGAGGCGGGAAGAGAAGGAGGAGGCAGGGAGGCATAAACTTATACTGAGGGCATGAGCATGTGGGACATAACTGTGCCAAAGGTAATGGAGAAGAGAGGAGGCAGCCAAGGTGGGATGGGGGGAGGGAAGGTGAGGAGCTCAGAGATAGCTTTATTAAATTTGAGTTGGTAGCAAGACAGCCGCCAGGAAATGATGTCAGAGAGAAAGATGTTAGTCTGAACAGGGATGGAAGGCAGATCTGGAAGTCAGTAATAGCTAACAGGGGAATAGAATGGATGAGGTCACTCAGAGATAAGGTGTGCAGGGAAGTGGAAAGTGCCAAGGAGAATCCCTGTGAGACCTCAATAGAGAGAGAATATTAGGCAATTTAAGAAGAGAATCAGGAGAGGACAGAATCTCTGCAGGGAAAATTTCTACCAAGAGAATGGTCAGCTATGTTGAAGCCAGATGGTAGTTCAAGAAGGATGAGCGCAAGAGTAAGGCCATGCAACGTGGCCAGGAAGAGGTCACTGATAACTTTGGTGAGTGCTGGGGCAGAAGCAGATTGTAGGGAATGAGGAGAGAGTAAATAATGCAGGGGAAATAAATACAGCATTGCAGAAAATGCAGTCAAAAGTTTCATTCAATTATATTTCTTCAATATAAAATGGACAGTCATCCAAAATAAGGTGCATTGTAGGTGACTCCATATGAAATTAAATGGGACTTGAGTGTTTCTGGAAAGCAAGTTCATTCTTTGTAACTAGCAAAAATGACAGGGAACCTAAAAAGGTGGGGTGGGATAGGGTAGGGCGGGGAGGGAGAAAAAGAGGCATGTTTAAATGTGTTAATCAATAAATGATCTAACAATCATTTCAATAACTTCTGACACAGATGTGACTATACCAGGCAAGACATCATGTTTACTGAAACATAATGGATTCTGATATCTATTACTCAATGGCAGAAACAGCAGCTGGACCCCCTGGAAGCTGCAATGAATCATCAAGGTTTTGTTGTTGTTGTTGTTGTTGTTTGTTTTGTTTTTTTGCTTCACTTTGAAGACAGCAATTTGTTAAATCATGGAGTACAAAAGAGTGAGAGAACCCATAACTTTACTTTTAGAAAGTTTGGGATATAGTAGCCAGGTGAAAAGTATTATTCCCTTTGGCTCCAGATCTGAGGATTCTTCATGTTCCCTCCGTTTATTTTGTTTCCTGTGTTGGGTCTGTGTACTAATCTATTATCTCCCAAGACCTGGGAAAGATAACTGGCTGCCTTTCAGTGGGTAAAGTTATCACTGGGCAAAACAAAATGGATTAATAGCAACTGGAGAGAACTGAAATTAAGTCTATTGAAAGCTCTCAGTTACTATTTTTATGGCGAATGAAGTGTTAGGTCATGAAATCTACACTGGAATCAGACCAAATGAAGACACCCTAGGTCTCTTAGTTGACAGAGTCATAATTCATGTTTAAGAGTTCAAACACATGTGGGTACTCAACACTTCTGAAAATCAGGTCTTCAGCACTGAAGGACATTTTAATGGAGAGCTTAGAAAATCATTACCTCATTGTGTCACTTGTTACTTCAGAGGCAGATGTTCCTTTCAAATGTAGGTTAAAATAGTAGGCTTTTCTCTGCATAAGTCACCCCAGTTTGAATTGATTCTAATAGCCATGTGGCTGGTATCTGGAGTGAAAAAGCTTCACACAAAGGATTCATGGATTTTCTTTAAATTGTGCTTATCTTTTTTGCTTTGTTATGAAGGAGCAGGTCTAAAAATGGTATTAGTTCTACATGAAAACATTCAAACAGAATAAAAACTGAAACATTTTTGGTTTTTGGTTCCCGGCCCCTTTTCTCTCCCTATTTTTACTGAAAGGAGGGTGGGGAGAGGCAAAACAAGGTGACTGCACCCTCTATAGAAATAAGCATAGGTTTGGGATACAGGAATACCCAAGTTCTAAGCAGGAACCTGACAGTGACTTGCTGAGTAGCGTTGCAGGCTCAGTTTCCCCTTCTCTAAAAAGGGAATAATACTACTAACCGATTTACCTCATAAACTTGTTATAAGCGTTACTTAATGTTTGCACTGTGCTTTAAACACGGAGGCACTCACCCAGAGCCTAACTTTGCTCCCACTAAATTCAAGGCTAGAACACCTTTTTATGTCAGTGGAATCAGACCTAGACCATTCTTGAGGGCTTTTGAAACTCCGACTCTTAAAGTTCGGTGAAAGTGTTAAGTATTATTACTGTTAGCCAAGATTTTCAAAAGTAACTGTGGTTTTGAGTTTCAGTTTGAGACCTAAAAGGGGCGTGATTATCAGACAGTACGGATCACCCACCGTCTGATAATCAGGCACCTAAGGTGTCTTAAGATAGGTTTCCCAAAATTTAGGTACCAAAAAATCAAGATTTTGAAAATCTTGGCTATGATCTTTCACATCATTTACAGGGAATTATATTCAGGGTAGGATTTCCAAAGACATGTAAGCACAAATACCATTGAAAGTCAGCGGAACTAGTACTGCTAGGTAGAGCTGAGTAAAATGTGTTGTCCAAAACTCTTTCATTGAAAACATGCAGATTTGCTGATTTGTTTTGGTCAAAAAAAATATTGTTTTGGGTCAAACGCATTTTTTGTACTTTTCAGTTGGCCAAAATTTTAAAAAAATGTTTTGCGCTGACCCAAAATGTAATGTTTTAATTTAATTTTTGGTACTACCCAATGAACCAAAAAATCAGTTATTTACACAGCACTATTGGTAGGTCACTTAGGGTCAGATCCTCAAAGGTTTTTAGACACCTAACTCTCATTGATTTCAAAGTGGGTTCAGCTACTAAACAAGAACAAGGCATTCTTAATCTGGAATAAGAATGTCCACACATGGAGTTAATCAGGAACTACTCCAGGTGTACACAAGTACTTCGGTACTTTTGAGAATTCCACCCTAAGTCCTTAAAATAGTGTTAGGGCAGGTCTTCACTACAGGGGGGGTAGATTTAAGATACGCAAATTCAGCTACGCGAATAGCGTAGCTGAATTCGACGTATCGCAGCCGACTTACCCCGCTGTAGGGACGGTGGCAAAATCGACCTCTGCGGCTTCCCGTCGACGGTGCTTACTCCCACCTCCACTGGTGGAGTAAGAGCATCGATTCGGGGATCGATTGTCACGTCCCGATGGGACGCAATAAATCGATCCCTGAGAGGTCGATTTCTACCCGCTGATTCAGGCGGGTAGTGTAGACCTAGCCTTAGATGTTACAGATGACTTCCTTTTTCAGGCCCGCAAGTGCACTGGGAACTGCACATTTGCAACTTAATTAAATTGGCAGTTTAGTTCAGAAAATGTATAAACATAAAATTTTAAGTTTTTTTCTTTCCAGTCTTTTTATTATTTTAAATACCATATAATTTAGATAACTTTGTGTGTTGTCTAAATTTAAGATGTATCACAAATGTAGCTGGAAAGAAAGAGTTTAAAAAAACAACACAGCAGAGCATAAAAAATAGTAAAAGTGTCCATCGGAGATAAATTGTAAAGGACAAGGGATTGACCTATTTTTCTGTGGAGAAGTGGGAGGTTAATGTGTAAATTCATGATGAATAACTAATGGTTATGAAATCTTCTGGTTACCACAAATAAGTGTATATTCATAGTAGTGTAATATGTAAATATTTTTTTAAAATGTAGACAGTGTCATTTTAAATGTCAAAATCTTTAAAATTATAATTGAGGCTTGTATTATATTAATTATATCATGCTGAGGCTTATAGGGTTGCAATTACCCCCTGAGCAATATGTAATAATAGTTTACTGTTCAGAATCAAAAATGAAATATCCACAATTAAACCACAATCTTTCTGGAAAGCATATAACACCTGGGTGTCCAGTAAACTCCATATCACTCAACCACCTGTTGGCTGATGCTTCTACAAGTTAAACCCCACTAGCTTCTACAAGTAGGAAGTACTATTTAATATTTTAAAGCTATGTTGAATATGGCAGAGAATATAAACAGAGGCCATAAGGGTATAAGTAGCAAATTCAGATTCTTTTTTTGCCATTTATATAACATATGAAGCAGGGTAGTGGTTGTTATTTAAAAAAAAACCAAAAAACAAAAAAACCACTACCAGTAGACAAGAGTCTACTGTGGTAAACAATGCCCTATTTGTAATGAATATCACTTCAAATTACAATACAAAGTACGCAAAGTGGATGAAGCTAGCTGACTAGTTCCAAATTTTCTTAGGTCAAACTTTTTTCCCCTTACCAATGGCTTTCACTTAATGCAGACTAACCCTGTGGCAGATGCCCAACCTAACGCTTAAATTATGTAATTTTCCAAAAGTAATGTCAAGTCCTGTTGCTGTTTCTCTAATATGGATTGATTAGACTGAGTGTCAGAACTCTATTAAAAACAGCTGAAGATGGAGTATGCCTCGGGAAAAGTGGGTACATCAGCAGAAACATTAATATTTTCTTTCAAATGGAGAGACTGATTTTGTTGATGCTGCACATTTCTCTGTGCTGGAATGGATTGGATAGAATTTCAGACTCTGAGAAAATATGAACACTTATGTTTTGCTGCCTAGTTACTTTATAGGGCTCCATTGCCCTATGTGGAATGTGTGTGTGTGTGTGTATATATATATACACACACATACACATTATATATCAGCATATTGACGTATGTGAATGTTGACTGTAGTTGCTGTGTTCAAGGTAAATATATAAAATACTTTTACGGGAAGGTTGCAATGTAACATTGCTTTATTACTTAGGATTTACACTAGTAACACAAGAAAGCAAGAACAGAGAAAGACAAAGCAGGCTGCTCCCTAAAACAGAGAGACACAACTCACCCTACATTACTCAAGGCTGGCTCTCTGCAGACTTACTCTGATCACAACCTTCCTTGCAGAGCCCCCTGCTTGCAAGCAGGACCAGGAAATCTCTTCCCCCCATCCCCCAACTCTTTAAGTACTGACTTGCAGTTCCAAACATAGTCCTTAACACATCACAGAGTGGAAGTTTATCTGGATGGCCAGTTTATCAACTCATGTAAGTTGGTATTCTGATTTCAACAGAACTATGCCAATATACATCCAATGAGGACATGGCCTAGACACTAAAAGAGGGACCAAAAGTAGGACACTGTGCCTGAATCCACAGAATGAAATGCTCACTAGTTTACTTTTTCAAGCACAGAGACAAAGTTAACAAGCAGATATCTTAGGGTTTTCTATAACAATTATCACCATAGCACCTAAAAAGCAACAGAGGGGCCTTGTGGCACCTTTAAGACTAACAGTCTTAATGGTGCCACAGGACCCTCTGTTGCTTTTTACAGATTCAGACTAACACGGCTACCCCTCTGATACATAGCACCTAAGTGTGTCCCAAATCCCTACTGGACTTCTCTGTTCCTAGTTATAGGAAGCTTTAGATAGTCCTATGATGTGATGTCTTCTTAGATCTGAATTCTCCTAAGTTAGCAAGACTTAGAGTATTTTATTTAATAATGTGAGATAAAAAATGATATAATTCTGAAATGCATAGTCAATCACCTCACACCAGTATTTGACAGAACTATTGCTAACTGACAGCTTAATGCCAGCTTTCATATTGCCATCCACTAACATTCTCTTCTGTGGAATTCTGTGGAATTCTCAGCCAGCCTGCTGCCAGGAAGCCTGACAATAAAATTTAAGTTTACACAAAAATAAAGGATGACCAACAATCTTCCTCTGAGCTTTGGCACTCATCTGCTTGTCACAATCTCTAATGTTAATACCTAGAACAGCGTTTCCCAAACTGTGTTCCATGGAACACTGGTGTTCCACACAATGTGAATAGGTGTTCCATGAAAGAATCGTAATTTTAAAAAAAAAGGGTCTTCAAATTTTTTTTAATTTTAAATTTGGCAGAACGCAGAAACACCAATCCCATTAAATCCAAATTTGTATTTCTGTTTATAAAAATAGATTTTCCTAGTAAAAATCTAATTTATTTGGTGTTTGTGTATATATAAAAACAGGTTTTTTTAAGTAGAACACTGTTTTTAATTTGGACTCTTGCACTTGATTTTTGTACTACTTTATATGCGCTTTCCAGTTAGAAATTGTTAGTTCAAGTTATTTTAAATTTGTATTTTTGCTTGTTTTATAAAATAAAATTTATCTGAGCATAAATAACACAATTTTTTATTTGAAAACCAAATGACTACAAAATAATATTATAAGTATTCCGTAATAGTCTAAAAAGTGTTCCGTGGCCAAAAAAGTTTGGGAAACGCTGACCTAGAAAAAGGCACATTCCACTCTCTGCACATGGAGCTATTAGCAGCACATATTAACCAATGGAGCTATCAGACCAACCTTTCTGCAGATGGAGTGGTGGAGAGATGACCCTGAGTCTTGGATTCTGCTTCAGATCCACTGTTCAAGGGATTCACAATGAAGGCTTTGTTCAGGTCTGAGATGGAGCAATCCATCAGTGATGGCAAGAACCATGAAAACATGCACGTAGCCCCAGAGAAAGAGAGAGAGAGAAGGAGAAACCAATTGCGTAATGCACATGGCAGAGCTGAGTTCCTTCCTTTTTCTTCCCATATATTATAAAAGATACTGGGTACTCTTACTTCAGGGGAGTACTTTTACCATTCTGTATTTCTTCAGCAACAAGAAGAAGCCACAGTACTTGATGGATGACTATTTACATACCTAAAGTTAAGCACTAGTACAACAGCATTGGGGGCTACAATTTGAATCCACACTATTTTAACCCTTCTGCCAGGTGGAGTTAGCAGCAACAAGGGCCGGGGTCAAT